CTAGTTTTCCAGGATGTGGATCTTGTCAGAACCTCCACACATTTGAAACCAGTACAGGTTTGATGGAAAGCCGCAGTGACAGACCACAGAAAATTGAGGAAAATATTACGGACTAATCAGACTTTCACACAACATGACCCTGATTCAGTGGAACCGTCTGGATTCAAGGCGGAGAGCGGAGACCAGAGCCCCGCGGCACCAGGAGGAAATACAGAATCTTGTCACAGTTTAGCGCTCATTTCGGGGAACTTTCCTTGCCTGGTTTTATTTGTTTTATTATCGCCCATAAAACAGTGATGTGAGTCAAGCAGTATACTACTGGGGTTTTATATTTTTTATACTGTACAGCTGTCATATGAATTATATACAAATTATGGAATGGAATATTATTTGACTGTATTTATTATTGTCTATATCAATAATACTCACTCTTCAGCCTGTGCTGGCTCCTATAGCAGCCTCCTCCTCTCCTCTCTTTGTGTAAAACACATTCAAGCACACATCACTCATAGAACACGTAGATCAGTGATCAAGGGTACTTTAACTGTGTCAGGTACGCTTTTTTGCATTCCGCTAAAATAAAACATCTTTTACTCATCAGTAATAGCAATAGCAGCTGTAGTTTCTACTGTGGGACGAGTAGCAGACACAGACGAGTGAATCATCCTACTCTCTGACCATCTTTGGCAGTTTTTACAAAACTTTACAATTGTCTGTTTTACCTCACGGGACTCAAAGATCTGATTGGACACTGACTTTCAGGTACACATAGCTTATCCTCCCTACGTCACTCAGACGAACTGTATCTAGTTCCGTAAAGCCCGGAATGTTTGCTTCACTTCTTTTACCGTTCATGAGAAAGTTGTTCACTTATCAAACATGTGCGCATGTGTCACAGGTTAAAAAGTGTCTGTTGAGGGGGAAAAATATTTTATCACATTTTTTCAAAATGTGATAAAATATATACAAAAGGATCCTTAAAAAAAAATACACACTCCACTCGTCCCCGCTGTCCTCGCCATCTTGTCCCTCACTCTCCCGGGACCCCGCAGCCTCACCAGCCAAACCACACGCCAAGGGTCGCCACCGGGCACCCGTGGGGGAGAGCGGGCACATCCCAGCCGCGATCCCATGCCTTCTTCCGCTGTCAATGCGCTCACTGCCATCGCCGGTGCCGCTCTCCCCGCTGGCCTCAGTCCCCTGTTGGCTCTGGCTGGCGGCAGTCCTCCTCGGCCCGGTCCCGTGTGCTCCTCTTCTGCGTTCTCTCTGGCCCTCGTCCTCCTTTTTCCTCTCTCTCGCTCCGCAGACCTGCCCCCAATTAATAGTCTTGATTAAAAACAGATGTGGGTAATTGGGGAAGTGTCCAAGGAACGGTGATTTAAAATGCATGCATAGAAAACATAAAAACACAAAAACTTATAAAAGTTCACTTTCCCACACATGCATCACCTTCGATACAGCTGTCGTCATAGTAACTGATTCATTCACAAGTTCTATGCAAACTTTCTGTCCATGTTGTCTCTTGAACATACAGTATACTGTTGACTTTGGCCTTTTAGATTTTGGAAGAAGTGAATTCAAAACACCACAGCTCAAGTCCTGACTCGAACCAGGAGGTACCATCACATTAGTCCTGGTCTTGGGTCTCTGCTTATTGTGGCTCAGAGGAGCTCGGGTTGTTGGAAGTCCCTCCATGGCCTCACACCAAAACACATCTGTGACCTGTTAGTGTCATATGAACCAACTCGGAGGAGCACAGGGACTGGCTTCCTGCTGGTCCCAGAGTCAGGACCTAACATGGGGAGGCAGCATTTCAGATTTTATGCAGCTAAAATCTAGAACAATCTTCCTGAAAATGTGAGACAGGTTTTTTCTATGTTAAAATCTAGGTTAAAAACAGTTCTGTCTAGCTACAAATACATCTGAAGGATTGTATCTTTTGTCCTGTGATTATTTATGATTTTAATGCCGTGCATGATTCTCTCTTTCTTGCTTTGTTCTGCACTTTGAGTTGCCCTGTGTATGAACTGTGCTATATAAATAAATTGTCTCAGTAAATGTGCAGATATGAAAGACTCAGGGTTAAACTTTTGCCTCATACATTTCTTCTGGTGTGTCTGAGCTGCAGCAGGTGAAGATCTGTGTCTAACGTGAAGCGACAGTTTGGATCAGAGAACTCTGGCATTAACTGTGGCATTCGATTCTACAAGCTGTCTGCAGGAAGTGTGTGTGTTTGTGTGTGCGTCTGTGTGTGTGTGTTTGAGAGAGAGGGACTGTGTGTGTGTTGATGTGTGTGCGAGTGTGTGTGTGTGTGCGTCTTTGTGTGTGTGTGTGTTTGAGAGAGAGGGACTGTGTGTGTGTTGATGTGTGTGTGAGTGTGAGTGAGAGACTGTGTGTGTGTGTGTGTGTGTTTGAGAGAGAGGGACTTTGTGTGTGTTGATGTGTGTGTGTTTGAGAGAGAGGGACTGTGTGTGTGTTGATGTGTGTGTGAGTGTGTGTGAGAGACGGTGTGTGTGTGGGTATGTGTGTGTGTGTGTGTGTGAGTGAGAGACTGCGTTTGTTTTGTGGACATATGAGGACTTTTATATGATAACACACCTTCAATATCAGGACCTGAGGAAATGTCAGGACTTTTTTCAGGTCCCCATTTTTCCATGCATACTACAGTGTTGTAGAGGCCCAGAACAAGCTCCACACCAAAAATCAAGCATGTCCCAAAATGTCTACAAATAGTGAAAATGTGTGTCGGGGCCGAAACACTCCCAAAAAGTTTGAAGCGCCTCTCTGGTCGTGCACGGTACTACCTTAACACACTTTTAACACACACACACTTGTCCTCATATGTCACCTATTTTGTCACAAACTTAAATACATTCCCAGAGGTGGGTAGAATAGCCAAAATATTGACTCATGGTAATTTAAAAAGATACTTGAGTAGTGAGTGTGTGTTTGTAAAAAAAAAAAAGAAAAAAACTTTCAGCCAGAAGGGGCCTTTTGGAGTGGAGCTTGCATGTTCTCCTTGTGTCAGTAGATTATCTCCCTGAAAAATTGTCTTAACTCCAGTTGGAAAATCATGTTTAAATTAGAATTTAAAACATCAAAAACAAATATAAAAGTGAGGTGTCAAAAATTACAAACACAATGTATAAAAATAAATAATTCTACATTAAAGTTATAATGTATTTGTCCATCTACAGAGTTACTCTCCGTGAAAGGAGTAACGATTGATAAATATTTCACTCAGACCTGAAGTGCTTGTTATACTGTAGGTCCTAATATGTCACTCAGACCTGATGTGTGTGTTGTAGGTCCTAATATCTCACTCAGACCTGATGTGTGTGTTGTAGGTCCTAATATCTCACTCAGACCTGATGTGTGTGTTGTAGGTCCTAAAATCTCACTCAGACCTGATGTGTGTGTTATAAGTCCTAATATCTCACTCAGACCTGATGTGTGTGTTGTAGGTCCTAATATCTCACTCAGACCTGATACAATACAATACAATACAATACAATTTATTCTTGTATAGCCCTAGGTCACAACAGAAGTCATCTCAGAGGACTTAACAAAACCATTGAAATCACCAACACAGGTCAGAGAATCAACAGTTAAAACACATGAAGAATACAGTATAAAGCACACACAGAAGAAAATGTCCATACATGTTGTAGAATGCTAAAGTGTCCTGATCATCACAAATCCTTTCTGTTGGACACTAACTGTCCAACAAGACCCTCCTGCATCGACAAGGAAAAACTCTTAAAAAACCCAGTGATATGTGTGTTGTAGGTCCTAATATATCACTCAGACCTGATGTGTGTGTTGTAGGTCCTAATATCTCACTCAGACCTGATGTGTGTGTTATAGGTCCTGATATCTCACTCAGACCTAATGTGTGTGTTGTAGGTCCTGATATCTCACTCAGACCTGATGTGTGTGTTGTAGGTCCTCATATTTCACTCAGACCTGATGTGTGTGTTGTAGGTCCTCATATTTCACTCAGACCTGATGTGTGTGTTATAGGTCCTAATATCTCACTCAGACCTGATGTGTGTGATGTCGGTCCTAATATCTGATTATCTTGCGTCACATTACAGGTCTTCCTGTGACACGCATTTTCACACACGTCTCTCCTGCACTTTCTTATATTCTCCGCTTCTGTTAAACCTTTCATATAAGCCCCAGACCGAGGGGCACAGGGAGTGTGTGGCTGCAAGGCCAAAGAAAAGCGTTTCCTACGAGTATAACTCCCTCTGTCCTGACCCTGCTCTCAGTAGTGCTATCGCAGTAACACTTCAGACATTAAAGAATCAGTCTTTATTTAATCACCAGAACACACACACACACTTGTAACTTCCCTGCCTCCGATCGCTTTGCTCCACACTTTTCATTCTCATTCATTCATTTCTCATTGCTCGTACGCTCGTTGCTGAAGTGTGTGTGTGCACTCGTGTCCGCGGTGCGCACACACACACGTGCACACATATGTTACTATCTGCCCTGACCCTCGCTCTCAGTGTGGTGCTATTGCAATAACACTTCAGACATTCAAGAATCAGTCTCTATTCGCCAGAACACACACACACACAAACACACACATTCCCGCAAACACTAGTGAGGTCGTAGTTAAAAACATGAAAACTGAGGACTTGCCTTTCCCAATGTTTTAGGAGGAAGAAAAAACACTTTCTAGACACTTGATGGCGCTGCGGAGCTATACACTCCATTGAAAAAATTTTAGAACCAAGATTTAAGAAAAAGTTTTGAACCATCAGAGTGGGGACAATAAGTGAAATTTGCAAAAAAAAATCATGAATAGACCTTTTTTTTAACTCTTTGAAGGTATATTTAGAATTATATAGTTGGTCACATGTGCAAATGGACACAGATTATTATGTGGGATCACAGCAATTTTAATAAAACAAAGCAAAACATTTGAAAGACAGGTTTATTTGCATCTTTGTATTTTGACTTGTCCCAACAGGACAATTACAAAGGACCTAATACAAAGTGCTCTTGAACGGGACTTTAAAACATAACTGCACTTAACATTAAAGCAGGGCGGTCAAACTCATTCCTAAAGCGCCGCAGTGGCTGCAGGTTTTCCATCAGACCAAGCAGGAGCAGAGCAGACTCCTCCCATTTCCTCAAACCTTCAGGTTAAGACTGAACTCACTGAGGAAATGGGAGGAGTCTGCTCTGCTCCTGCTTGGTCTGATGGAAAACCTGCAGCCACTGCGGCGCTTTGGGAATGAGTTTGACACAAATACCAGCTACACAAGCTGCCTCTTGAGTCGGATAATAGTATTATACACAAAGTACTTGAGGTCCTTCCAGGTTCTGTTGATGAGGGCTGCAGACTCCTGTGTGAGGCACAGCACACAGAGCCAGGTACTTCCCCATCCTCTTCTCCACGGCTCTCCTCCTCACTCCAGGGTTTCTTTGGGTTTCTAGAAGCTTCTGATGGAGACAATAAGACACATAAAGACTTATGTTTATCCTGATGACCAGGTCTGGACCAGGTCTAAACCAGGACTGAACCAGGACTAAACCAGGACTAAACCAGGACTGAACCAGGACTGAACCAGGTCTACCCTAGGTCTAAACACCAGGACTGAACCAGGTCTAAACCAGGACTGAACCAGGTCTAAACCAGGACTGAACCAGGACTGAACCAGGTCTAAACCAGGACTAAACCAGGTCTAAACCAGGACTGAACCAGGACTAAACCAGGACTAAACCGAACCAGGACTAAACCAGGCCTAAACCAGGTCTGAACCAGGACTAAACCAGGACTAAACCAGTACTAAACCAGGACTAAACCGAACTAGGACTGAACCAGGTCTAAACCAGGTCTAAAAAAGGACTGAACCAGGACTTAACCAGGACTGAACCAGGTCTAAACAAGGACTGAACCAGGACTGAACCAGGCCTAAACCAGGTCTAAACCAGGTCTAAACCAGGACTAAACCAGGATCAGTTGTACTCACCATCTGTCCTCTTGGTCCGTTTGTTTTTCTGGGCCTTTGTGGAGGTCGGCTCTAGCTCCTCTTCATCAGACACTTCAGCACACGCTAAGAACACACAGAAGGGTCAGCAAGGACTAAACCAGGTCTGAACCAGGACTAAACCAGGACTGAAACAGGTCTAAACCAGGACTGAAACAGGACTAAACCAGGACTGAACCAGGACTAAACCAGGTCTGAACCAGGACTAAACCAGGACTAAACCAGGACTGAACCAGGACTAAACCAGGACTGAACCAGGACTAAACCAGATCTACCCTAGGTCTAAACCAGGTCTAGCCTAGGTCTAAACCAGGACTAAACCAGGACTAAACCAGGACTAAACCAGGACTAAACCAGGACTGAACCAGGACTGAACCAGGACTAAACCAGGCCTAAACCACGTCTAAACCACGTCTAAACCAGGACTAAACCAGGTCTAAACCAGGACTGAACCAGGACTGAACCAGGCCTAAACCAGGTCTAAACCAGGTCTAAACCAGGACTAAACCAGGATCAGTTGTACTCACCATCTGTCCTCTTGGTCCGTTTGTTTTTCTGGGCCTTTGTGGAGGTCGGCTCTAGCTCCTCTTCATCAGACACTTCAGCACACGCTAAGAACACACAGAAGGGTCAGCAAGGACTAAACCAGGTCTGAACCAGGACTAAACCAGGACTAAACCAGGACTAAACCAGGACTAAACCAGGACTAAACCAGGAATACCCTAGGACTAAACCAGGTCTGAACCAGGACTAAACCAGGACTGAAACAGGTCTAAACCAGGACTGAAACAGGACTAAACCAGGACTGAACCAGGACTAAACCAGGTCTGAACCAGGACTAAACCAGGACTAAACCAGGACTAAACCAGGTCTGAACCAGGACTAAACCAGGACTGAACCAGGACTGAACCAGGACTGAACCAGGACTGAACCAGGACTAAACCAGGACTAAACCAGGACTGAACCAGGACTAAACCAGGACTGAACCAGGACTAAACCAGATCTACCCTAGGTCTAAACCAGGTCTAGCCTAGGTCTAAACCAGGACTAAACCAGGACTAAACCAGGACTAAACCAGGACTAAACCAGGACTGAACCAGGACTGAACCAGGACTAAACCAGGCCTAAACCACGTCTAAACCACGTCTAAACCAGGACTAAACCAGGTCTAAACCAGGACTGAACCAGGTCTACCCTAGGTCTAAACACCAGGACTACCCCAGGACTGAAACAGGTCTAAACCAGGTCGAAACCAGGTCGAAACCAGGACTAAACCAGGATCAGTTGTACTCACCATCTGTCCTCTTGGTCCGTTTGTTTTTCTGGGCCTTTGTGGAGGTCGGCTCTAGCTCCTCTTCATCAGACACTTCAGCACACACTAAGAACACACAGAAGGGTCAGCAAGGACTAAACCAGGTCTGAACCAGGACTAAACCAGGACTAAACCAGGACTAAACCAGGACTAAACCAGGACTAAACCAGGAATACCCTAGGTCTAAACCAGGTCTGAACCAGGTCTGAACCAGGTCTGAACCAGGTCTAAACCAGGTCTAAACCAGGTCTGAACCAGGTCTAAACCAGGTCTAAACCAGGTCTAAACCAGGTCTAAACCAGGACTAAACCAGGACTAAACCAGGACTAAACCAGGACTAAACCAGGACTGAACCAGGACTACCCTAGGTCTAAACCAGGACTGAACCAGGTCTAAACCAGGACTGCCCTAGGTCTAAACCAGGACTAAACCAAGTCTAAAAAAGGACTGAAACAGGACTAAACCAGGTCTGAACCAGGACTAAACCAGATCTGAACCAGGTCTGAACCAGGACTAAACCAGGACTAAACCAGGACTAAACCAGGACTAAACCAGGACTAAACCAGGACTGAACCAGGACTACCCTAGGTCTAAACCAGGACTGAACCAGGACTGAACCAGGTCTAAACCATGACCCTGGTTTTAGTCCTGGCTTAGACCTGGTTTAGGTCCTGGTTAAGTCCTGGTATTAGTCCTGGTTTAGTCCTGGTTCAGACCTGGTTTAGTCCTTGCTAGACCCTTCTGTGTGTGTCCTTAGCGTTTGCTGAACCAGGATCAGTTGTACTCACCATCTATCCTCTTGGTCCGTTTGTTTTTCTGGGCCTTTGTGGAGGTCGGCTCTAGCTCCTCTTCATCAGACACTTCAGCACACGCTAAGAACACACAGAAGGGTCAGCAAGGACTAAACCAGGTCTGAACCAGGACTAAACCAGGACTAAACCAGGACTGAACCAGGACTACCCTAGGTCTAAACCAGGACTACCCTAGGTCTAAACCAGGACTGAACCAGGACTGCCCTAGGTCTAAACCAGGTCTAAAAAAGGACTGAAACAGGACTAAACCAGGACTGAACCAGGACTGAACCAGGACTGAACCAGGACTGAACCAGGACTGAACCAGGACTGAACCAGGTCTAAACCAGGACTAAACCAGGTCTAAACCAGGACTGAACCAGGAATAAACCAGGATCAGTTGTACTCACCATCTGTCCTCTTGGTCCGTTTGTTTTTCTGGGCCTTTGTGGAGGTCGGCTCTAGCTCCTCTTCATCAGACACTTCAGCACACGCTAAGAACACACAGAAGGGTCAGCAAGGACTACCCCAGGTCTGAACCAGGTCTAAAACCAGGGCTAAACCAGGTCTGAACAGGTTACCCTAGGATCTACAACCAGGACTAAACCAGGACTGTCTTTGGTCTGGGACTTCACATGTGTCAGAAAATACTGAAAAAACCCATTGCTGGGATAATTAGAGGAGCACGGGCTTCCTTGGAGGAGCTTGTACTCATCATGGACAGGCATCTGAAGATGGGCTTACTCATCTGCAAACATGCAAGATTTACAATTAGAATTAATCTGCATTTTGTTTTGAATACATTTCATCACATTGAATTTTACAATAAATTTAAAATGATTTTTGGAAATTACTCCATGAGGTCCTGAATCCAAAACACGTTCTATAAGTAGTAATATTCATATATAGTGCATTTCACAGACCAAGGGGAAAAATATATAAATAATAATCGCTGCTCATACAATTTCATAATTCAGCAATTGATTTGAAGGCCTCCTTCTTTTTTGAAGTTTCAGAGATCAGTACCACCAGACCACGGCACAGACCTGACCCATCAGAACAACTCGCAGACCGCTCACTGACACTGACCCACAGAACCACGCACAGACCCAGACCCGCGCACAGACCCAGACCCGCGCACAGACCAGACCCGCACACAGACCAGACACTAGACCCATGCGCAGGACACACCGCAGCGATCAAACGAACTTACGCTTGGCACCACGTTTTGTATTTATAAAAACACGGATTTGATACGGTGAAGTTAAACTTTGGCCGGAGTTATTACAATGAATAAGCACTCACTTTACCCACAGAAATAAGACAGAGCGGTACTTACGCATAGGCTCTGCTCTCGCGCGCCATCTTCTCCGGTTCGTCGCCGTGTGCTCCTCGATGTGGTCCTCGTGGTGCACGTAGAACTCAGACAGAACGTGGCTTATTGTGCGCTCTCATTGGTTAAGATACACAGTGTTGTGATTGGTTAAATTCCACTGCAAGCTGTTCTTTCTCCCTCAAAAAATATAGTTTTTACTATTAATTTTTACCATTACAACATTTCAATGTTTTCAAATGAAACTTGTTCCCCCCACCCTTCCTTCCCCCCCCTTTCCTCCCCCCCCCCCCCCCCCTGGTGAAACTCGTGTTAAAGCCCTTTTCCTGTTACTGTGTGTGTTAAAACAACACATTTAAAACATGTTTGTTTTAGGCTGTGGATACTAGTGCTCAGGGGCGGGACCGTTGGCTACATCTGATTTGCTGATCAAGAGTGGGCATCCAAAGTGAAACATGGTTACAATCTGCGTGCAGAATCCAAGTGCTGATGAGACATGAAATGAGACCTGGACTGATAAACTAGAACGTATGTTCAGGGCTGCAGGAGACACTTGACGCACAGTCAAAAATATAGTATAAATCAAACAAAAATACAACACAATAAAAGGCTTTTGGTGTATCTTAATGCTCTTCTTGGTGCTTTACATTTGATGAAAAAATCATCGCACGCTTCTGTTTGTACAATCAAAAAATCGAAATATGGAAAAGAGGACTCAATCGGAAAAATCTTTATATATATATATATTAATATATATATTATATTTTATATATAGTATATATTTAAAAAAAAAATTGTCCACTCACCTTTCACCACTGGGCACTACTGTCACTTTACCCTCCAGCCCTCTCCAGCTCCTCTCTGAGACCTTGGTACTTTCTCAAGCCTTGTTCATGTTCTTTTTTCCTGATTTTACCCATCGCTTGGAATTGCCACGTCCCACCACAGCTGTCCTCTGCCCTTTGTCCACACCACGGCTGTCCTTCTGCCCTTTGTCCACCACACGGCTGTCCTTGCCCTTTGTCCACCACCACGGCTGTCCTCTGCCCTTTGTCCACCACCACGGCTGTCCTCTGCCCTTTGTCCACCCACCACGGCTGTCCTCTGCCCTTTTGTCCACACCACGGCTGTCCTCTGCCCCTTTGCCACCACACGGCTGTCCTCTGCCCTTTGTCCACCACCACGGCTGTCCTCTGCCCTTTGTCCTCCACCACACCACGGGCTGTCTCTGCCCTGTTGTCTACTCACCACAATGTCAGGTTGGTTCATTACCATTCGGTCGGTCTTGTATCTGGAAGTCCCACAGGATCTTTGCACGCTAATTCTCCACCACATTTGGAGGTGTTTCCACTTAGTCCTGGGGGTTTGCAGCCCATACCCCCCACCCCCCCCAGCACAAAGATGTTTTCTGTACACTATGCCAGGCCACGTTGTTATGGCGTTCCATGTAGGCCTTCCCTGCTGCATCTTGCACCTGCAGTTATGTGTTGGCTCGTCTCAAGTGCCTCTTTGAACAACCCGACAACCTTGGGTCTTGTGCTGGTGTGGTATATGCGGACTCTCTGGTGCTCAGGGTCCTGTTCCTGTGCAGCCATGATGAGTGCTCTGTGTCGTCCTTGAAGGCCAGCCCTTTCTCGCCATTTGGTAGGACTTCTTGAGATCACAGCCACTTCTGCTATCCTCGTGGTACATGCAGTGTAGGGCTTGTTCTCCTTGATGGGCTCCTCCTCCAGCACCGTCTTCATCTCGCCACTGCCTGGAGGACATTCACTGAGTACGTATATCCGTTTTGACCTCTCCTTGATGTAGTTTGGTGTTTGGATGTTTGAGTCCTGGACAGTGGCTCTCACACTCATAGTCCTCGGCCTCTCCTTCTTTACGGCTTACGTACAGTTCAGGGTGCTGGATTTGGGATGGGAAAGAACAATCCGCCTTGCATGGTAAGAGCTTTCGAGTTTTAACATAGTGGTCGAAATTCTCTCCTTGGGCCACCTGATTTATTCCTGAGGGTATTGATACGGGCCGGGAGTAGCTGTTATTAGGAGCTGTTAACAGCTCCTATAGTAGCTGTTAATATATATATAAATATATATATATATATATATATAAATATATATAATTATTATTTAGTTATATATATAGGAAGGCTGGAGAGGGCCTGGAGGGTAAAGGTGTCAGTAGGCCCGTGTTGATCGGTGCACTCGGGGCAGGACCCGAAGCTAGAGAGTGGTTACAGCGGTTCCCCGGGAACAACCTCGGTCATCTGGGTCAGAAATGGTGCGTGCTGGAACAGCAAAGATATGCGCAGAACCCTCACGCTCCAGGCCTCTGGTAGAGGTCCCGAGCTAGAGCAGGGATACACAGCCACGGAGGGCCAGGTGAGTGGAGAATTAATAATATATAATATATAAATAAATATCTATATATATTCCTTAATAAAACAGCTATAATGTATTCAATTTTAAAATATTGATATTTATCTCGATATTGACACAGCCTAATTACCGCACATGACTCAAAATGCAACGAATCCCACAGATTTCAGTTAGCATCAAATGAGCCTCCTCTCTCAACACAAAACATGGAATCGATATGATGTTTCTGAGTGTATCATTAATTCAAATTAGTGAGAGACAAGTTCTCCGCTGAGACACAGTCATCCAGCTGAGAGTCACAGTCCTATCCAGCTGAGAGAACACAGTCATCCAGCTGATGACACAGTCCATCCGTGAGAGACACAGCATTCCAGCTGAGAGACAAGGCCATCCAGCTGAGACACAGTTCATCCTGCTGAGACACGTCCATCCAGCTGAGACACAGTCCATCCAGCTGAGTGACACTGTCATCCAGCTGAGAGACACGGTCCTCATCCAGCTGAGAGACACAGTACATCCAGCTGAGGACACAGTCGTCCAGCTGGGACAGTCCATCCAGCTGGAGGACATCAGTCCATCCAGCTGACGAGACAGTTCCTCCAGCTGAGGACACAGTCCATCCCAGCTGAGACACGTCATCCAGCTGTGTTGGGGGGTTGACTCAGACCTCAGCTGAGACACGAGTCCATCAGGCTGAGACCAGTCCCATCCAGCTGAGAGGGACAGTTCCTCCTGCTGAGGACACAGTCCATCCCTGCTGAGACACTGTCCATCCAGCTGCGGGACACAAGTCCATCCAGCTGAGAGACACAGTCCTCCAGTGAGAGACAGTTCCTCCAGCTGAGACACAGTCCATCAGCTGAGACACAGTCCATCCAAGCTGTTTTAGACACAAGTCCATCCAGCATGTGGACACCAGTCCATCCTGCTGAGACACTGGTCCATCCAGCTGAGAGACACAGTTTCCATCCAGCTGAGACACAGTCCATCAGCTGAGACACAGTCCATTCCAGCTGTGAGGACACAGTCCATCCAGCTGAGAGACAGTCCATCCAGCTGAGTGACACGTCCATCCAGCGAGAGCAGTTCTCCAGCTGAAGACACAGTCCTTCCTGCTGAGCCGACACAGTCCATCCAGCTGCAGAGACACATGTCCATCCTGCTGAGACACAGTCTCAGCCAAATCACACTCTTCTGCAAATCGCTCCCAGAGCTCAAGGTGATGGTCGATGAAGCCAACTGGACAACATCATCCGCAAACTGCAGAGACGATTCAGTGGTCCCCAATCCGGACCACTCTGGCCCCTTGCTTCAGGTAGGCGTTCCAAAACCGGTCCGTGACTCTGAGTTCCAAACCGGCCCCCTCCGGCCCCAGTGGTCCCAAACCGGACTTCTCCAACCCCTGGCTGTGCCTAGAATTCATGTCTTGAAAACGTGAACAGAACTGGTGGACAATGGGCAGCCCTGGGGGGACCCCAACACTGGTAACTATCTGACTTACTGCGGGACACAGCCTGGCTCCATCATACAGTGGCCGATAGCCCTGAGATAAGGATCCCCCCCCCCCCCACTGGACCCCCGTACTCTGGGAGAATCCCCCAAAGGTCACCCCGGGGAATATTGTCGAATACCTTCTCCAAATCCACAAAGCACATGTGGACAGGTTGGGCGAACTTCCCATGAACCCTCGAGTATCGATGGAGAGTATAGAGTGGTCAGTGTTCTACGACGGGAGAAAACTCACATGCTCCTCCTGAATCTGAGATTCGACCATCGGCCGTAGCCTCCTCTCCTGTACCTTGGAGTAGACCTTACCGGGTGAGGAGGCTTTAGGTGTGTGATCCCACGATAATTGGTACACATTCATCCAGGTCCCCCTTCATTGTAGAGGGGACCACACCCGCCCCCTCCCCCCGCAGAATAAAAAAAAAAAAGTTGATTAAAGTCTAAACAGTGGCAGTAAAAGAGAACCTTGGGAAACACCACAGAGAGAGGGGTCCATCCAGACGGGTCACTGAGGATCACAGACGGGTCACAGATGGGGGTCATAAGCACTGCTCCTGGGCCTCAGGGTCTTCTCTGGACCGTTTCATGACTTCAGTCCAAAAACCCAGGGAAGTCCTCAGAGGAACACTTAAGATTGTCTAATTATCACATAAGGTCTGGGTCTAACTTAATCCGGACCCTGTCCCGGACTCAGCCCGGACCCAGACTCGGATCTAGGATCGGACCTAGACTCGGGACCTAGACTCGGACCTAGACTCGGATCTAGACTCGGTCTAGCTCTGATTCTAGACTCTTGATCTAGACTCTGATCTAGACTCTGATCTAGACTCTGATCAAGACTCTGAACTAGACTCTGATCTAGACTTCCTGACCTAGACTCTGATCTAGACTTGATCTAGACTCTGATCAAGGATCTGATCTAGACTCTGATCTTAGACTTGATCTAGACTTGTCTCAGACTCTGATCAAGACTCTGTTCTAGCCTCTGATTAGCTCTGATCTCGACTCTGATCTAGACTCTGATCTAGACTCTGATTCTAGACTTGATCTAGACCAGTCCTGGACCAGACCTGAGCCGAGTCGAGAACCATGACCTAGACCCGGACCTGGACTAGGACCCAGTCCAGGTCGCGCGTCTATGGTGCTCGCTCGTACAAGACCACGTGCGTCTATGGTCCTCGCTCGGTACATGACCCGGTGTCTATGGTCCGCGCTCGGTATATGACCAGCACACTTGCTGAGCTGTCGAGCGCCACAGTTTCTCCTGGGTCAGACGAAGGATGTTATGTGCATACGACCCCCCAGGGAGGAGCTGCACATATTGAGAAGGACTGGTCAATGTGAATTACGCAAAAGTGCTTACTAACTCAAGTGATAGTCACGTCATTCTTCCCTGTTTACCCACTTCTTACCCCTCTTCCTATATTCCTATTTTTTTACCATTCAATAACCCACCCCCCCCCCCCCCCCCCCCCCCCCCTAATTTTCCCTCTATATATATTTCCCCCCCCCCCCCCCCCCCCCCCCCCCCCCCCCTAATAATACCCCCCCCCCCCCCCCCCCCCCCCCCCCCCCCCCCCCCCCCCCTCCCCCCCCCCTCCCCCCCCCCCCCCACCCCTCCATTTTTTTTTTTCTAGCAAAGTTGTGTGCAAATTCTTGCAGTGTATTCAGTGAAGAGGAGGGAGCCAGAATGGTACCCTGTGGTGTCCCTTCTGGCTCACTAAAAGTTCCCAGGACACTCTCTTCCCTACCTGACTATGTGACACACAGTGACGGTAATTATATATCCAGTTGAAAAGTGGGGATCTATCTGATTTATTCCAGTTTCTTCCTTCGTAGAGGGTTGGATGGTGTTATCCACATATTCTCTTCTCAAATATCTCGGGCGCCCACTCATTTTGGCCAATAGGAAGCTAAGGTAGCTAAGACGAGATGACCGAACAGATTGAAACGTTGGATCTGGTTCAGTCTGTATTTTAGATGGGTGTGTGCTGAGTTTTTAGGACATTTCGAATAAATTTGACCTTTATGAGCTTCATTATCGTAAGAATCGTCCCGCTTAAGGCCCGCCCATCGAGAACAGTGCGGTCTAACTACACCGTTGGATCGTCTCATGGGCCCTCTAACACATATTTTAAATTCAAGAGTGTACCAGTGGAACACTGTGTGAATAATGAATGTTTGGCTGTTGGAGTGTAATGGTTTATTGGCGTGCTTGATGTGCGTGGGCGTGCAAAAGTGCAGCTGGTGTGTGTGTGGAGCGGCGGTGAGGAGAGAGCGCCTCGGAAGGTAGGACTGGGACAGTGCAAGAACTCAAGAGCGAGGTGTATGTAAAGCTTTAGCGTAAGTATCATTGCGCGAAAAGTAAATGGTAGAGATACGATCAGGAAACTATTATTTCAGTTTAATTCATGAAACAAAATGACACACATTTTGTTTCATTGTCATAACAAACAGTTATACCAAGGACTACCAGCATATATCAACTACATGTTAAATAATTTGGTAAAATATATGATTCCTTTGCATTTTCAATGGAAAACGGTCGCGACACGCGTCGACCGGTCGGGTAAAAATTGTTTTGTTTTTGACCGGCGCCGGTCGTTGCAACCCTCCGTTGACGGGAATGACGCATGTTTGCAGGGCCTGTGGAGCCACTTCCATTCACCCTCTTGGAGATAAAGGAAACGGAGATTGAAACGGACGCGTTTGGAAGGATACGTTCGTCGTTTTTACGCGCCCGTGGTGTCGGGGCCGCCTTGTATGAATATTGTAGTATTTGTTGTGTTTGCGTTCCTGCGTATCAACTGGCTGTTTCCACGGGCCCGACTATACTCGCCTCAACTCGATCGGCACGGACTAACTCGTTGAGAGCGTTTCCTCGGCCCATGGTGTATCTATGGCAACGTGTTTACCTACGGGGTAGTGATGCCGCGGGTCAGCCCGAAAGCCGCGGTCAACCCGCAGTTGCGGGCGGGTTGGATGCCTCAAAAATATGAGTAATGCTCGGGTGCCGGGAAGGACGGGGTCATAATTGCTCTGATCCTATATATAATTCTATTATATAATTAAGTGTAACTGGGGAGGCTGTAAACAAAAAATCACAAACACCCGTAAGATCGCCACCTTCCTGATCCCTGCTTTAAATCCCTCAAAATGCTGATCTCACTCAGACCTGATGTGTGTTGTTATAGGTCCTAATATCTCACTCAGACCTGATGTGTGTGTTTATAGGTCCTAATATCTCACTCAGACCTGATGTGTGTGTTGTAGGTCCTAATATCTCACTCAGACCTGATGTGTGTGTTGTAGGTCCTAATATCTCACTCAGACCTGATGTGTGTGTTATAGGTCCTAATATCTCACTCAGACCTGATGTGTGTGTTATAGGTCCTAATATCTCACTCAGACCTGATGTGTGTGTTATAGGTCCTAATATCTCACTCAGACCTGATGTGTGTGTTGTAGGTCCTAATATCTCACTCAGACCTGATGTGTGTGTTATAGGTCCTAATATCTCACTCAGACCTGATGTGTGTGTTATAGGTCCTAATATCTCACTCTGACCTGATGTGTGTGTTATAGGTCCTAATATCTCACTCAGACCTGATGTGTGTGTTGTAGGTCCTAATATCTCACTCAGACCTGATGTGTGTGTTGTAGGTCCTAATATCTCACTCAGACCTGATGTGTGTGATAGGTCCTAATATCTCACTCAGACCTGATGTGTGCTGAGTCCTAATATTCCTCACCTCAGACCTGATGTGTGTGTGTTATAGGTCCTAATATCTCACTCAGACCTGATGTGTGTGTTGTAGGTCCTAATATCTCACTCAGACCTGATGTGTGTTAGTAGGTCCTAATATCTCACTCAGACCTGATGTGTGTGTTGAGGTCCTAATATCTCACTCAGACCTGATGTGTGTGTTGTAGGTCCTAATATCTCACTCAGACCTGATGTGTGTGTTGAAGGTCCTAATATCTCACTCAGACCTGATGTGTGTGTTATAGGTCCTAATATCTCACTCTGACCTGATGTGTGTGTTATAGGTCCTAATATCTCACTCAGACCTGATGTGTGTGTTGTAGGTCCTAATATCTCACTCAGACCTGATGTGTTTGCTGAAGGTCCTAATATCTCACTCAACCTGATGTGTTTGCTGAAGATCCTAATACTCACTCAGACCTGATGCATGTGTTCTAGGTCCTAGTATCTCACTCAGACCTGATGTGTGTGTTGTAGGTCCTAATATCTCACTCAGACCTGATGTTTGTTTAGAGGTCCTAATATCTCACTCAGACCTGATGTGTGTGTTGTAGGTCCTAATATCTCACTCAGACCTGATGTGTGTGTTGTAGGTCCTTATATGTCACTCAGACCTGATGTGTGTGTTGTAGGTCCTAATATGTCACTCAGACCGGATGTGTTTGTTGTAGGTCCTAATATGTCACTCAGACCTGTCAAGGTCCTCATATGTGGCAATAAAATCATGCGGGAAAAAAGTTTCTTTTAACCAAAATATCAACAGCTAGCTGTGTTACTGATCACACCCTGCTCCCCCCTATGTGATCCTCAGGTCTCTGGGACCTTCAGAAAGGCACGTCCTGATATGTCACAGTGCAGACATAGGTCCTCATTTGTCAAGCAAACGCGTATATGTGTGTGTGAGTGTGTGTGTGTGTGTGTGTGTTTGAGAGAGAGGGACTGTGTGTGTGTTTATGTGTGTGCCAGTGTGTGTGACAGACTGTGTGTGAGAGAGGGACTGTGTGTGTGTTGGTGTGTGTGCGAGTGTGTATGTGTGTGTGTGTGTGCGTCTTTGTGTGTGTATATGTGAGAGAGATTGTGTGTGTGTGAGAGAGGGACAGTGTGTGTGTTGGTGTGTGTGCGAGTGTGTGTGAGAGACTGTGTGTGTGTATGTATGTGTGCGTCTTCGTGTGTGCGTCTTTGTGTGTGTGTATGTTGCGAGAGAGATTGTGTGTGTGTAAGGAAGGGACTGTGTGTTTGTTGTTGTGTGTGTGAGAGACCGTGCGTGTATGTGTGTGTGAGAAAGAGGGACTGTGTATGTCTCTCTCTCTTTCTCTCTATCTCCCTCTCCCTCTCTCTCTCTCTCCCTCTCTCTCTCCCTCTCCCCTTCCAGTGACTGCTCTCATTTTATTCCCATTCTGTTTCTTCTCTAAATACAACTGTTTCTCCTCACATTAGACTCAATTCTTTCCACTTTGCTCCAAATGTAAATCTGGCTCCAGTCTCCGTGACGACACAAAATCGTTCTTGCTAGTTTTTTTCTCCGTTAATTTCCATCTCCTTCTTTTGTTGCTAATTCTGCAGCATCCAGTCCTCTCTTTGCAGACCGTTCTGAGCAGAGACCAGGCCCTTTGTGATCAGACTCACGCCACTTCTGCTGAGTCACGGTGAAGGACGAGCTGCTATATTTTTCCTCGCCGTATTGCCATGGTAACCTGCGCTGTCTTCTCGTCTCTCTCCTCCTCTTGTAAATTGTCGTCACGGCGATGAGGTGGATGCTCAGTCATTCTCGGTGCTC